GATAAATTCAGAATTCCCAAATATCAAGGGAGTCCTTTAGGTACTCCAAGGGCTGCAATCACGATTGGCATAACAGCAGATTTCCTTTTCCGTAAGCGTTCAACTTCGATCTGCAAGTCTCGATATTTTGTCATTTTTTCCTATTGCTTTTCTTCATTATTATTATTATTATTTATTAAGCTTATATGCCACCCGACTCTCAACAACTCTGGCCAGCTCACAACAATCAAACCAAGGAACTACAATCAAATCAACAAAACAGATAAAGATAAATGTCCATGAAGTCATTAATTTTGCATTTCATGACGAAGGACATCATTTGTGTAATAATGACATCACACAAATGACACAAGGGACATCTTTGGTGAGGATTTACAGCATTTGCTTGGCAGCTTCTTGATGCAAATTGCATCGTTAGCACAAAATTAGCATCATGCCAGTAACTTAAGTCACCGCATATGCTGTAAAATTAATAGAAATTTAAATGCCTCATCAGGTTTACTTTGGATGCGACAGACTTGACTGCTATTTAGGGAGAAAGCCTAAGTGGAAAGTTGGTCTGTAACTTCCAAAGTTTGCTAAATGGGGGCCATGAAATTGAAGTTTCACTGCACGGTATTGAAATATTTAAAATATTGTGTGTTCTTATGCATTAAAGCTTTTGGTGTGTAAAAAGCCCCTTCCTCCTCCAGCTGGCCTCTGATTTTAAACTGTGTGTGTTGCCTTCAGAGGCAGGTTTTCCTCAGCAGTTGGGAACAGCCAACTTTTCACCATAATACTTTAAAATGGTATAATTGTACTATTGGGAACTATTGATTTTTTTTAAAAGCATATAATTGAATTCCTTCACACTGCATCCCTGCTCTATCATTTCCTGCTTTTTCAAAACATAATATAGATTTATAGAAGGTCACAAGAAACTAATGAACCCAAATTTGGGATGGTTGGTTTGCTAGATGTGCTCTGCTCAGTGTGGCTTCAAACGTAGGTCATAGAATTAACATGCTTTAATCAGTTTACTTCTAAATCCAACTTTTCATCTTCCTGGACTGGCATAGTAACTCCAGTGCTAAAGTAGGGCCGGGGAGTCCCAGGTTCAAGTGCACGCTGAGTCCCAAATCTCACAGGTCTTCTCTCTCAACTCAACCTACCTACCGAGATCATTGTCCGAGGGACAGATCTGGAGGGGCGAGTGCTGTGTACGCTGCCCACAGGTAGGATATAAATAAATATAAAGAGAAGGGTTGCTCATCTGCTTTCTGAATATTCTGATATAAGAGAAGCAGGGATTAAGCTGCCTCCGGGCCTGCATGGACCATCCACCTTGTGTGGTGGGCAAGAAGGAACATTAGCAGAGATTGGGGGAATTCTGTTCCCCTTGGCACAAAATACAGCTGTGGTGTTTGTTCACAGGGCTCAACCCTTTCTCCAGCCACCATTCATCTCAGTTAATATGGCTTGGCTGGTTGGAGGTTCAGCAGGTTGTGGGAATGCTATTCTTGTTTTAGCCTACTGCATGATGGCCAGGCCATTAGAGCAAGTGCTTGGCTTATCTGTGGGTGCCCTGTGTGTTACTGAGCACAGAAAATCTTGTCTGTACTCTGTGGGTGTCAGTCCCCCAGGTAGACCAGACCAGGAAATCAACTCCACCGGAAGGCTAAAACGACTTTGACTGAGACTGGCTCTAATAACCGAATCTCGCAAGTCTGATTGTGCTGGACTTCCTCCCCGTTCTTATCCTCAGGAGACGTCTCCCTGAGCCACTTCCAAATGTTATCTCGTTTCTCTGGACTTAAAAATGTTTCAGCATCTTTTGCTTAGGCAACAGGTCTTGCATATTTCCATCCAGGTGATGCATCTTCCTGACTGTCCACCTCCTGCAGTTAGGGGTTGCGCAGGCTGAGAACAAGGGTTCCCCCAACAAACATGGACTAAAACCACTAGAGTCCAGAAACTCCTGATAAGTCATCTTCATTGGAGAAAGCGAGGAAGGCGTGACCAAAGCATGTTAGGGATTTCTGTGATTCAGAAACAAGCCCTCTGTGTAGAACCAAGATTCAAACTCTTTTCCAACTCTTTCACCTTCCTTTTACACAAGAGGGCTGGTTTTTGCAAAGGTCGGAGTTGCTATCATATGGTTTCTCGCTGACTGTGTGAGAACTTCTCCCATGGGCCATCCCAGTCAAGAGCAGTGTCTGTCTTATTTTATTCATTCATGCTAGATTTATACTGCACCTTTTCTGTAGGAGCTCAAGGCAGCGTACATAACGCTCCATCCTCCCATTTCTCCCTACCTCAACGACCCTGTGAAGTAGGATGGGCTGAGAGAAAGTGACTGGCCTGAAGCCACCCAGGTAGCTCATGTGGTTGAGGATGGGCTTCAACTTGTTTCTGCTGGTCCAACACCTTCACGTCTGCCCCACTTGTTGAGGCCAGTGAGATGTTGGGAATTGTAGTTCCCCCTGTTGCGTCCAACCAAGACAGGAGGATGGCCGATGTCCCACATCCCACTGGAGATGGTCATCCTGTGGAAATCCACCTTCATCCTGGGAGCAGGATTTTTTGGAAGCATTTCTGTGCTGGCTTGTGTGTGTCTGTCCCAAGTTCTGGCTGCTTAGGGTTGATCTCAGACGTGGTTACTTAAGGGTCGCAAATGTGCCGGGTTCAAACCAGCATCTGGGATGGCAGAGAGTGGCTGCCACTGCTTAGCCTCTCTCCCTTCCTCCTCCTCTTCTTCCTCACAGGTTCTGGGGTTTATATCACCCGAGGACAACTCATGAATTGTCACCTCTGTGCTGGTGTGAAACACAAAGTCCTTCTTCGACGCCTCCTGGCCACGTTCTTTGACAGGTATGATGACCATCCCCTTCACTGTTATAAATCCAGCTTTTGTCCAGGGTACAAGTACTGTCCTACAGCCAGGAAGGAATGGCAAAGACATTTGTGGGATTAGGCAAAGCCCAGAAGGACCACTCCAGAAACAAGGAAATTGCATGGGGGAGGCAGGTTAGGATCTGCGTGGAGCCCACCAGTTGCTTGCCCAGCTTTAAAGAGTGGGGGGTAAAAGCTTCTTGGAGATTTTGTTCTGATGTCAAAGAGGTAGACTTACAGCTCCCAGAGCTCCCCAGCCAGCTTGGCCATTGCTGAGAATTCTGGGAAATGAAATCCACCCATCTGGCGGGTACTTGGCTCACAGGCCATCGGTGGAGAATGGAGGTCCCTGTTGATGCTAGTTTTGAAAACCCAAATTATTTTTTTGAAGGTTATTAGGAGAGTGACCTGGGAATACTGGTTAGTGATAGTGTTTGAGGAAGTTTAGCAATTTTGACCAATTGAAGGAGGCCAATCACAAATTAATATTTTGATGAGATTTTACATCAAAAACCTAAATGGGATCTCTTTCAGTGTAACTGTGATTCTATAGTGCAGTTTTTTCCCCCTAGGTTTATCTTAAAGATAACTAGTATGAATTTGAACATTGATGCTTTTTGGACTGGGCCAAAAAAAGACTTTTTGGTCAGAATCCACCATCAGCAATCCATATCGCTGCCAAAAGAATGATTTTGAACGTTTTTGAAATTGCCCATGTTGGTAAAATGTTAGATTTGGTCCATCAAAGAAATTGGAAGTATTTTAGAAAGGAGTCAAGGAAATCAGGCTTTAACTTAAGTAATAGCAGTGGTCTACTATTACTGTTGGTCGCACAGTCAGCCAGATGTTTAGGCTGGATTTGGCATTTTTATCCTCCTATCAAGTCCCAAGGACCTGGGATAGGCAGATGTTGTATTATATTATTATTATTAATTATTATTAATTATTATTATTATAAAAATAATTTATTTTATTTTATTTTATTTTATTACAACTGAAGTACATCAACCCCAAAATTGATCCCTAAAATAAGTGGGGCTCTAGCGGTCACAGTTCACACTCTGCTTACCCCTTTGTACTGTTTCCATGGTTCTTGAAGATTTACCTAGAACCCGTAAAGGCCTTTTGGATCCCCCATCCCAGTGTTTCTCAACCTCAGTAACTTTAAGAGTTGAAGTCCACGTGCCTTAAGGTTGCTGAGATTGAGAAACCCTGCGCTATCCCACCCCCCTGCATTGCTTCTCCCCCAATTCCACGCTTTGGATCCCCGGTTGCATAAGGAAGGGCGATTCAGGATGCGTTCCTGAGGTTGTATTTTCTGCTTGTTCCGGAAACAGGAACACCCTGGCCAACAGCTGCGGAACAGGCATTCGGTCTTCCACCAGTGACCCCAGCCGGAAACCCCTTGAGAGCCGGGTGCTTAACGCTGTGAAATGTAAGTAGGTGGATACGGGCGGCCCTTTGGGGCAAGCAAGGTGGGAGCAGGAAGCTGATGATGATTTTAATCTTTTGCAAAACAAAGCAGGGGAAACCCACCAAAACGGGGTTCTGGATTTCTCTCCAGCCTCCTCATAGCTACTCCAAGTTGCCAGGCAGGAGAGGTGCTTAAAACAGAGGAGTCGGCAACATTGTGAGTTTGCTGCCTGATTCTCCCTTCTGTAGGGATGCGTGGAGGGGGGCTTTTCCCTCCAGATCTGGCCCACTTTTTAAATTCAGCCCTCCTTTTGCTGAGTTTCCCCCCTCCCCCCAAAACTAAATCTGGTCCATTCTGTTTTCTGGAGCCTGACAAACAGCATCCCAAAGTCTCTTTCCTTGTTCTTTTTTCCCCCAAACAGCTTTTTTAAAGAAATCCAAAATATTTATTCGGAAAAGTTACTCTCTCACAAACCTTTCCTTTCTCGCCTTTTTGGAGTGCTGCCTTCATTCTGCTAATAAGATCTATTTATCCCATTTGCCTCCTGTGCTGCCATAGCCGGAGAGGCGTCTTACAAATATTGACGCTGTTTTTTAAAAGTGGGAACAAACAAGAGGAGTTCTTGAACTCCTGTTTTGTGAATCCTTGTCACTCAACTTGATCTCTAACTTCCAAGAAGCAGAAAGCCTGTTGGCCGGTGCTCAGCTTCAGGAAG